ATACAAAACTAATCCAGTTATTAAATTTGCGTTCAATACATGTGTATATGGTTTGACTTCTAAACTCGTTTATAGAATAGTATTGTCTAAATATTTTTTGTGTCACAATATTGTTAGCTATTGTTATGGTTTGCAATAAAACTATTTTTAAACCAAAACTCATAGGGTTTAAGACTCCTTCCAAATGATATAATATATTGCATGTTATGTTCTGTTTAGCCAAAAAGTATTAACAAAACTTTTTCATGGCATTTGCAATACTTAACGGATTAGCACAAACTCAACTAGTTTTTTAAACTACTATTATTGGACTCAATGCTCTGTGACTTTTGATTCATTGGACCCGTTATGCGATAAACAGATTATTGTTTTAAATTAATCATAAATAAATAGTAAGCGTAAACGAATAAATTTATCACAAATATAAAGTTTCACAAATACACAGATATATCAATCATAGAGACCCCTCATAACACAGTCCACCCCTCATAACACCCTCTCATTCATTACTGATAAACTGTTGGACAATAAAAGTACGGATAAAGTTGTGTAAAGTTGTCAGAAAAAATAGACTACAATTAATGGGATTTAAAAGTACAATTAGATTTGGATAACAATTAATGGCTGAGAAGTGAGACTTTGATGCAAATATCTGTCAAAATGCCAGAGGAATGCAAATTGTAGGCAATTGTGGGGAACTGTTGGGTAACTGTAGGGTTGTGTTAGCGCTATAGTCAAGCATTTGGTGAAGTAATGAATGCGAGCGTAGAGTGCATTGACTGGAGACTGAAGTTGTCTCTCAATGAGTCTCTCACTCGCAATAATATGGGACTGAAAGCCAAGACAAGAGTACAGTATAACTGTTTTACTGTGTATTTGTGGGCAAAAAGTCTACACACTATTCAACACTACATTGTATTGAATTGAATGACTGAATGAGTGCTCAAAAGCATACCATTGAATACGTATTACAGATAATAACAACACAACACTGTTTTGGCATCACTTCTACCATAGCATAGGGTTATAGCAATCGGGTATAGCATTAGCCATACATTTGCTATACATTTACACATTATTTCTTTTATTTATTATTATTTTATTATATTTTTATATTAATTATTATTAAATGAATACTATTTTTACAAATAAACTATTTTTTGTTAACTAAACAATGGTTTGCTTTCGTGTTATAATCAAAACAACGTTAAGTTAGACATTAATTATGCAAATAGTGTTCAAAATAATTGTGTTTTCAGTTTAAATCAATTATTTTTGTTGTGATTATTGTTATTATTGTTTGACATTTAAATCAAATGTTAATTCAATTGATTGTTAAGTAATGATATGTGTCTTAAGAGTGGATCAGTTGTCACTTGTTGTCTACAAAACCAAACGCTCGACCAATGATTGGATTTGAGTTTCGTTTCGTTAATCAAAAAACTATCGATTGATTGCTTTGTCTTTAAATGTCATCAAAGAGTGGTTCCCACGACTCGAAGGAGGAGAAGGTTTCGGTTCTCTTCGACTTCGAGTACTCGACAGACGAGGGATGTGTTGTCCGTATGAAGAAAGGGGAACAGTTGGTGGTGATGGCGAAGACTAACCCCGATTGGTGGCAATGCCGCAGATGTCACACCACTTCCACCACCGCTGATGACAAACTTCGCGGTCAACTCTTTTACGCTCCCGTCTGTTATCTCAAGAAATCTGATTCGTGTCCGCAATATGTCATCAACAATAAGACTGATATGAACTCAAACATTAAGCCCACAAACGGTGACCACAAGAAGAACGTGTCGACCATTAAAGTAGGTCTCAGTTTCATTAATCCGATGAACAGCGGCTTCAGTACTGATGATAACAGCGAAGACGACCACCGATTGGACGAATCAAATGGTTTCGATTCGAGCAAAGAGTCGCTTATCGAAGACAATCAATGCTGTGATACTAATAGCACTGAAATAGTGGTCAATAAGACAATTATTAGCAATAGAAGTGCCTCTCCTTCTGATGGTGTGATTTACGCAAACTTACCGTTGAGTGCGAAGAGCGGTTCCGACCAATCAGTGCCACCGATCCCGGACTCGAAGGTCTCTCCGATCCGAATATTACTGAATCATTGGGCAGAATATGAAGACTCGAGCGGAAGAAAGTTTTACTACAACTCAATGTCTCGTCAGACTTCTTGGAAACCTCCGCGACGTAAACCATATCAACACTTCTCACGCGATGACGATATGATGACAAGTCATTCCGAAGAGAATCTGACGGATTCGTCGACCACATCCCTGTCCACGACTCCCAACACGAGTGTTGTCTCCGATTCGTCTTCATTACCGAAACCAAAGTCTAGGATTTGGAGAAAATTCATTAAAAATGATAATAAGTATGATTTGACGGCAAACTATAGTACAACTCATGTGAATAACGATGAATCCAAAAGTGTCGACTCGTGTCCGCCAACGCTTCCAACACTACCCAAAGGCTGGACTCGAAAACACAACGAAGAGACGAAAGAACTCTATTTTATTAATAATAAAACCAATGAAAAGGTACTGTTATTAGGATATGACGACTATATCTCCCAATTTATATTTAATTGTATGACAATTGAGTGCTTATCCTCTTATCCTGTCATCATTTCTCCCTTCCTCTGCTCTTTTCGTTTCCACAATCACTTGTTTTCATTAAATTGAGTCAAAATATAAGCTCACATTAAGTATAACACCAATGCAATGGAGTCTCACATCCAGAAAGACTCCTTACGGGACAGTCTGACCGATAGTCCGGTGTCTCCGCTGTTCTGCGAATCGGGAGAACTCTTTACGTGGGAAGAGATTGAAAAGGTTTAATGCGTTTTTGGCTCAAGTGTTGCATAACATTATTTTGACTCAATTTAAGCCATTTATTTGATTCGCATTTCATATGTAAATAACATTAACATTACTTTACATTTCAGTGGTTTTGCAAACTCGACGAAAACGGAAGGTTGTATTTTTTCGAAGAGAATGGACACGAGTCCTATTGGGAACTCCCAGATCTCAACACCAACGATGACATCGATGTAAGTTTTGTTTTTTTGACGCACATCTTATGTTTTCACTTTTAAATTTAATTAAAAATATGTTTACCTAATATTAAATTACACTTAAACTAAATACGGTTTGAAAAAGTTTTTGGTGTTTTAGTAAATATATTTTGAACACAGAAATGCACTCTAAAAAATGTTTATTAATTATAATTTAACTGCAAATGTTTGTATTTATTATCTATTTGTTGACTTTATGTAGACATTCAATACTAATCTCCGGTAGTAAAGACCTGATATTTTATAATTCATTATTTTTTATGAAATTGATTTGATTGTTGTTTATTATAATTGAATTATAACTCGTTTATGGTTTATAGGAGAATCAGAAGACAGAGATGTCGACATCGGAGGCATCGAATAATGGTATGTCCGGCCAAACAAGTGATCAGAAATCTCCTGAAAATCAGACTAAAAGCAAGAAAATGACTAAATTATCGACATCTCAACGATCTCTTCTCGAGCGTAACATAAAGGCGCGATCCATGGCTTTCCTACCGGTCAACAGCTCACTCGCCTCCCGACCTAATATCCCTGGTATTTACCATTTAATTGTTTAACTCATATGTTTTGAATTTAATATTATATTTGTTTTAAAGCCATTTTACTACAAGAAGAGCCGGACATCGGAGCCGAACCGGCGCTATCTGATTATCAGCCGCCGCCCACTTGTTTGGACGAATCAGTGGTCAGTCATTTGCCCATTAATTAATTATATTTAGTATTTTAAATGTTTATTTATATTTTGATAGACTTTAAAACAAGGAGTTATGAATCGATCAAAACTAATTGAAGGCGGAAAGCGATTGCGAAAGAATTGGTCCAATTGTTACTTAGCTGTCACTCATTACTATTTATTATTTTTTAAAGACATGAAATCCGCGCAATCGGTATAACAAACTATTGGACACTAATTGATAAATTGAGAGCTAATAAGTGTAATGTTTGTAATTTGTTTAAAGGGAGCGAAACCAGAGATAACAATAGACCTGACCGGAGCCATGATCTCCTGGTCTCCCGAAAAGTCAAGTCGAAAGAACTGTTTTCAAGTGAGTACTGTTGCCGGACAACAGGTCCTCCTTCAGGAAGAATGCGCCCTCACATGCAAAGAGTGGTTCGATCTGATTAAGAATGCCATTCAAAGACTGGTAACACTTCTATAACTTGAAAGTTTATTTCTATGTTTGTTAATGTTTTTACAATTCTTTAGCCAATGGTTTCGATTTGTGATGAATTGGATATTTCTCTTGACAAACACGGATCGAAACTCAAACGATCGAAGTCTACAAAACGTCTGTTTATTTGAATTTATTTTATATATGAATTTTTAGATATATTTGTATAATATCTACAGAATATCGAAAGCGTGAAGATATAGCCGAAAGTGAATTATCGACGAGTTTTCCATTGGCTGTGAGTCAGAGCGCAAATAATATCCCGTCTGAGAGGAGGAAGAAAATCAAAGAAAGATTGCGTCAATTCCTCAGAAGACGACCAACTCTTGAAAGTCTTCGAGAGAAAGGAATATTTAAAGGTTGTATTCTTTCGATGATTTGATGACATATTTAATCATAACTTTTGAATTAATTCAGACGAACCGGTATTTGGAGGAAAACTTGAAATTTTATGTTTGAGAGACAAACAAATTGTCCCAAAGTTTGTTCAACAATGCATTCAAGCGATTGAAGCGAAAGACTTGAAAGCGGATGGACTGTACAGAGCGTGCGGTAATCTCTCACAGGTCCAGAAATTGCGATTTCAAATCAATAACGACGACTTCAATGGCATTTGGGCTGAGGATGACGTCCACGTCTTGACTGGACTTTTGAAAATGTTTTTCCGTGATATGAAAGAACCACTTTTTCCATGCGATCGATTTGATGCACTCATGAAAATAATCGGTATTTTCTCTACATTTAATGCAAACTTAATGAGCGTTTGAATTAAAATGCATTTTTGATTGTATTTGCAGTGCTTTCCGACAGAAAAGTACAGTTAGAGTCGTTAACAAAATTAGTGAACGCTTTGCCGAAACCTAATTACGAGACTCTGAAACATATTTTGTCGCATTTACTCAGGTATGGCAAACACATACTGTTTATTACCATATGATTAGACACTTAGATGTGATTTGTGTTCACAATAGGGTGAAAGACTACAGCGACCAAAATCGGATGCATATCCAGAACCTGGCGATAGTGTTTGGGCCGACACTAATGTGGCCCGAAAACGACTCAAACAACTTTGCATTGGATATGATGTTACGGATGCATCAAAACCAAATCATTGAGTTTCTTCTCCTCGAGTTTGATAACATGTTTTAAGACACTTCTTGTTATTATATTTATATTTATTTATATATCATTTGTTTCACTACTTATTGAAAGCTTCTATTCTTATCCCCTATTAGTTATCTTTATATTATTTATCGAAAATCGTTAACACTTTTAGCGTTTATTTTTATGAAAATCAAATCAAAGCATATATTAAATGAAATCATTTTTTCCAATTTATAATTCAGGGTATGATATGATTACTGATAAGTCTTTAGTATTAAATGTATTAACTGTTAAATTATTAAATTTTTTGCCTTAAATTAGAAATCAAAGAGAATCGTATGATATGTATAGTTAAAGCAATTTTATATAACAAATTCTTAAATCTATTTTATAATCATAACTAGTTTTTAAATACTATTACGTTAACTATAAATACAATACAAATGATTTTTATAATAAAACCAATTCTTTTAAAATTACCTAAATAGTTTTTAAAACAAAATATTGATTAAATTGTTTAAAACTGTCGTACCGTTTGAACAGGTTTGAAATGTTTATTAAATTATTACAATTAAATGAAATGACAAAAATCATAGACCGATAGCAGTGGATGACTGGGATTGGATGGACTGCAACACAATATCACACAATTAGTAGACATAACTTGAAGTTCAAAACTTTTATTTTATTGTTTTTCATAAGAAATTCGTTGAAACATTTCAAATATTTGATAAAAACAAAAAATACATTTCGTTTTCGAAAGTTATTTATAAGAAATACAAATAATTAGAGATTCTTTTGGAACAGAGTTTTGAATTTAAGAGAGAAAGAGAGTTAACTCTCGAAAAAGACAATTGAATTAATGTTTGAAAATTGTGCTGAATTTTAAATATTGCTCTCAATTTTATAGTTGAATCAAAGTTAACGACTAGTAATCAACAGATTGTTTCACAATAGCTTTCAAATCGAGTTTTAGATTCAAATCATATCAAAGAATATACAAATTATTGTTTCACTAAAAGTACACTAAATAAATAAATTTAAAAAATGAATTAATATTTTTAAATTAAATATTAAGTAAATGAATAGAAAATAAAGACAAACGTAAAACGTCTAAAATCGGTCGCAAACTATGCAACTGTTGTTATAATTCATTATATTTTCAAATTGAATGTAAATTTAATTATTTCCTCATTAAATATAATCTCAAATTTAATGTCAAATAATTGTCAGCAAAAATATGGTTTTTGTTTAACGCTATCTATAATTAAACACAATTTACAATATATTTGGCACTCAAACCAACGAAATAGTGATTGGTTTTCGAGTAAACAAATTACGCCTCCGAGTCGTCGGTGTCTTCGACTTTACTTCTCAAGACATCGCTCTTTATTTGACCGAAATTTCTGGTGATATTGTTTGTAATGATACGAATGTTTTCGAGCCTTTCGGCCAAAGTGTTTGGCGTCACTATATTGTTGGCCGAGTGCTGGCCCTCCAAGTAATCGATGTTTATATCACTGTCTGCGCCCACATTCAGACAGTCGTCGTCCGATAGGATGTCTCGTCTGAAGCCTCGGTTCGGCGCCGGATATTCCATCTCCGAGTCATACATGAGATTAATTGAGTCCATGTTATCCAACATTCGAGAACTGGCACCAGATCTGGAAGACATACTCGTGTCGTCCATATCTCCTTCGTGTCCGTCATTAAGCAAAGAGTTGACATCACTGAGCGCTCCCTCGGCGTCAGTGAGTCCGGCGTCGTTCATAACAGACAAGCCGTCCATTCCTACGACACTCTCATCACAGTTGGTATCAAACAATTGATTTGTTTCGTTCAGTGACTGGCCGTCGGACTGAAGTTCGTCGCTCTCATCGCTGACCAATTGGTTCTCATCTGTCAGTTGATTGTCATCTGATTTATTGTATTCCTCCTCATCTTCCTCTTCGTCGTTGACGTCTTCATCAAAGAGAGGAATGTCATCGGAATCGATGTTTTCGTACTCCGATTCCTTCGCATGTCTTCGTTGTGCGAAACGTTTTGAATTCAAATTATTTTCGCTTTGGTTTAAAATTTTTTTCTCTTTATTTGAGAAATCGATGTCTTCTAATGGGAACCGATAAGTCATCGGACGTGAGTTGTTGTGGAACTGTTGCTCCAATTGTGCCAAATCTGCGGCCATATCGAGAAGAGTGTCGGCCTTTGTGTTGAGCGCTTGGTTTTTGATCACTTCGTGTTCGTTATGATTGTCTTTATTGGTTGCGATCAACGCATCGGTGTTTGACTCCTGTTTCTCCTCTTCCTCTTCAAAACTCATACAAAATTCATTCATTGGTTTCACTCTTTCCTTCTTAAACCCAAATTCTGCCAAAACGTCGCTAACGTTTCGAAGTTCTTGGAGTGGAATCATTGGAAGCGATCCTTTACTCCTGAGTTTTGGAGAATATTCTGGATTCTGTTTGGAGACGCTCTCCATTGACGGCAACTTTTTGGGCATAATTTTGCCGTATTTTGCATTTGAGTTCGACTTATAATAGTCGGGAAGACTTCCCTTCCGTTGACTTCGAGAGGAATTGGAGCCAAAAGATGGCGAACGCCTTATGATATCAGTTCTGTTGCGACGACTCGCGGCGCCCATCAGATTCAGATCCAGCTCTTCCTCCGTATCGCTCGTCGCTGTTCTGCCACTGAATGAGTGTTTGTGGAGAAGAGGAATATTGATGTCGTCGTCGTCTTTACTTCTATCCCTTCTATTATATCGATGTCTTCTTCGGGCGCTATTAGTTCCAGAAGAGCCGTCACTTTTATAAGAGCCCTGATTTGCGTGACTTTTACCGAGTTTTGTGCTCTCATTGTTGGAGGAATGGTGTGAATGATTGTGATTGTGGTGATGGATGTGATGGTAGAGTTTCTTTGAGTTCGACTGTTGACTCTCTGGCGGTGCGTTTGATGTTGTCTTTGGTTTACAACCACTGAAGTCATTGTTATTGCGTTTAATGAAAATACAATAATCGTCTCTATTGTTGGTCCGAACGAACGAATGCTCGGCTTCTGTAGTGTTCTCTGGATTGGGATAAACCCACTGAAGACAAGCAGATCCGCCAGAATTGCGATTGAATGCCGGCGAAGGAGTGTCCAGATCTGTACGCGTCAGACCTCCATATGTGGTCTCGGCGTCCGTCACAGGCATGACGTCCGACGACGACGACGAGTGATAGAGTGACGAGCCGTCGAAAGAAGACGCCCTTCCCGTCGCTCTGGCAGACGTGGCCTGAGTCTGAGTCGCCTCCATGTCATCAAAACTCTGTCGACTCTCAACTGCGGTCCGATTGGTCTCATCCAGAGATGCGGTTCTCTGAGACACAGTTGGAGACGAAAAGGGGAGACAAGGATTGGTTGGGTTTAGTTTGTGGGCACTTGTGTTGTGAGTTAGAGATGAGTTACGAGACGGCCGTCGGTTAGAGTGATCTCTGGGCGGAAGCGGAGGTGTTATGTCATCCAAATTGGTTTCCTGTACTCCAGTCGGCGATACAATAGTGAGCGAGTGTTGAATGTCTTGACCGCAAACAAAATGATCAGATTCTGGAGGCGGCGGCGGAACGGATGAACTCAACTCTTTAAGTGTCTCCCAGGCGTCGCCTTTATTGTAAAGACAGGCCGTGGGCTCTGCAGCGGAAGGTTCTTCAGTAATGGAAGTGATTGTATTGAGCGGCGATTTATTAAATTTCGGTCTTTCCATATCAGTTATGATAGGTTTCGGCGGATTATAACTGGGAATTGAATCAATCCTTTTGCCAACGTTTGACACTTTTGTCGCGTTTCTATTCGTTGGCTGAAGTAATGGAGAATTTGTAAAACTATTTCTACTGTTATTATTATTACTGCTATTATTCATAGAATTTTTCTTCATTTTTGAATTCCTTTCGCCAATCCCTCCGACGACCGCCCGATTCGACCCGTTATTCGCGGATCCAATAAATTCATAATTATTGCGACTTTTTTGGTTCTTGCGATCGATTAAGAAATATGTTGTCATTTCTCCCTTTCCTTTCACTTTCACTCTTCCCCTGCACTCAAAATCGTATGGATAGTCCTATAGGAGAGAGAGAGAGAGAGAGAGAGAGAGAGAGAGAGNTTGATTCAATTCCCAGTTATAATCCGCCGAAACCTATCATAACTGATATGGAGAGAGAGAGAATGATTAAGTAATTAAGTAATAAATCAAAACACAGTGATAAATACCTTAAGTAGTAAATAGACGTCTTCAGTACACTGAGTGTGATTAGGAAGACCTGTGCTGTCCATTCTTGAGGCCAGATTCACAGTATCGCCCTATGAATAGAGAGTGAATGCCATTAGTTTTATAGGTTTATGTTTTGTAAGCCCTAATCGCGTAAAACTCACCCAAATATCGTACTGAGGTTTACGAGCGCCTAAACAACCGAAAGAATTTTCAATTTAAATAATCAGTTTAAAAGTCATAACTTTTAAAAATTAAATGTCAAACCAATAACTCCTGCGACGACGGGTCCGATGTTGAGACCGACGCGAAGCATAAAGTTATTGTAAGAATTCTCGTTTATTTCTGACAATCGATCCCTCATTTCAAAGACTAAGTCCACTAAACAAGCCATACATTCGGCAGCGAATACAGAATCGGTTTCCTATTTTTCAAATATATATTGCATTTCAAATATCAATATATGAATTCAAACGTGCGTTCAATGCATTTGGACGTGTCATCAAAGAATGTGACGCTTTTTTGACAATAAATAAGACAAACGCAAAAACATAAGACAATACTAACTGGTATACGAAACTCCGGCATCAATCCAATCGCTGCCATATAACAACTGCCGACTGTTTTGATTTTATCGATCGCTTTATATTTTTGGTGATCCAACAGCTATTAGAGCGTTGCATAATATTAGACAAACAATTAGATCAATAAAATTTTAATTTTATACAGAGATTAATAAGGAATTAAATGGATTGAGAATTAATTACTTCATCAAAATCGGCGATTATCTCATTGAGTAAACGAAGACACTCTACGCCCTGATTATTACCGTCTAATTCCATATAAAACTCCATAAAATTCGGTATCGAAGCGAAACAAACACCGACTTTAGTATATGATTGATGATAGAGATCCTTAAAATTCAGAAACAAATGTTTTCTAATTAGGATTAACTTATATTTTATTAAATATCATGTGTTATGCAAACATCACAATAATTAAACGCTGTGTTAATTAAATTAAATTGCAAAATTGTAAACTCAAAGGAATACCATATTGTTTCTGAATTGATTGTCGAGGAAATGAGTGGCCACATGTGATGGCAACAGATTGAATAGTATGCGACGATTACTACTCTGTAACTCATGCATATCGGCCTTCTCTTCGTTGGCCTGAGAGTTCCAGAGGAAGTCCAGTCTAGCCGTCCATTCGACTTGCCGTCCGTGGATCAGAACCGCCAAAACAAAGTGAACTATAATTACGGGACCCGTTATGTTGAGCGGGACTCCAAATCTGGAAATAATTGGACAATAAATACATCATTTCAATGAAATTGTATTCAATTCTCACTCATAAGTGCACTGAAAGAGTCGATTGTGAGTGAATTCGATGACAATTAGGAAAACGGCGGCCATTGGTATGAGAAGAGCCGCCTTAAGCATCATTGGAAGCCTCAAGAATATAACCAAAGGGAAGAACGACAAAATGCAACTCATTATTATATAGTGAGGGAATGGACACAAGCGGTGGTCATCTGTCACTGTCTTCTCATCGATGCCTGTTGTCGGCCCGCAAGACATCTCTTCCAAACACGTGAACTAAAAGTAGTAAATAATTGAAAAGAAGAATACAAGAAAAGAAAGTTTATTATAAATTAATGAGTAAATTGCTTATTGAAAATTAAGAACTATAATAGATATTGAGTGCAGGGGAAGAGTGAAAGTGAAAGGAAAGGGAGAAATGACAACATATTTCTTAATCGATCGCAAGAACCAAAAAAGTCGCAATAATTATGAATTTATTGGATCCGCGAATAACGGGTCGAATCGGGCGGTCGTCGGAGGGATTGGCGAAAGGAATTCAAAAATGAAGAAAAATTCTATGAATAATAGCAGTAATAATAATAACAGTAGAAATAGTTTTACAAATTCTCCATTACTTCAGCCAACGAATAGAAACGCGACAAAAGTGTCAAATGTTGGCAAAAGGATTGATTCAATTCCCAGTTATANAAATTACTTTAAAATATCAATATTTGTCTATATTTACAGCCATTTCTATTTAACACATTGCAAGTGAGACAATTGGCCGGCTCTGCCAAACGAAAGCTATCGTTTAAGAATGTATCCAATGTTGTCATACAGTTATTGCATTCAATTAAATACAATATTGACGTTCCGTTCGCTAATATGGCAATGATTCCGACGGTTAACATTCAGACCACAAATATGGACAATCAGTTGCCCAAAAAAGTGAGTCTCCTGTCAGTGGTCTTAAGGGGTAATTATTTAATTATTATTTATTTTTGTTAGTTTAAAGTGACGGATAAGTTGCGGAAGCCGTTTAAGAAGAGGCACTCAGTGGTCTACCATCAGGGAACCAATCGCGTCAACAAATACTTGGCTCAGGCTATCGACGCCCGCAGTGTTGACAGAGAAAAGACAACTCATGTTAATGTGATTACACTTTGCTTTAAAGATAAATACAAAGAACGCCAATACCATGAAGAGAAAGACCGCGGATTCGGTATGGCTTTGGCCTGTGCTATGGGTGTCCTCATCCTATTGGCCGCACTTCAAATTGCAATACTCCCGAGGTTTGCAACCATTCATCACATTATTCTTACATGCATTTCATCAAAAAATGTTGTTTTCTGTTAACAGAACCTTAATTTTGGTCATATTATTCTTAGTGGCCTTCGTTTGGATATCTGTTTTGTTGATTCTTGTATTAGGCGCTCGTCTTCAGGTATATCTACATCTTTAATGTTTGCATTTAATGACAAATTCTTAAGTAATATTTAGCATCAAAATGACATAAAAGAATCGTAGATTAAAATTCAGGTTATTTAAAACGACTTAAATACTTTTATATATGTATTTAAGTTTTTATTATAAATAAATTACGAATTAAAGTTTTACACAAGTAAAATATTTATGTATAAACATTAAGAATTGTGAGTAAATTTAGTAATTTGAATGATATAGTGCTAAATATTTAGATGTTATATGAAGCATAAACAGTGTTATAGTTAGGGATGTTATTTTACATGTAATATTGATTTCAATCGTACATTACATGTATTATTCCGTATTTTATCGTAAGATTCCGTAAAATTTAACTTATAAATACATAATTAATGTGCAAATATAAATGTTAATTAGTCGTTAATTAACGATTAATTACATTCAATTCAATCCAAACATTGAGATGAAATTGTCATAACAATTATTCGTGTAATAATGACTAAATATTATCCCAGTTTAAGCAATGGTTCGCTAAATAATAAGTAATAGTCTTTTGTAAGTTACATGTAATATTCCAATTTTGCTGTAATTTACTGTAAATTATTTCTGTATGATATGTAAGTTACATTAATGACAAAACTAGTTACAGTACATTTAAATAATATTTTCTAATACAAATACAGCACAGAATATAACGAGTTATAACTTATAATGAGATATAATAATCATTTTTCAGTGCGTTTGTTGGGATATCTCTAAGCATTTTCTATTACGTCTGGGAATAATGATCTTTACGGTTGTCATTATTTATTCAGTGGCTCAGGTGAATGTGGTAAGTGATCCCAATCTCTCTCTCTCTCTCTCTCTCTCTCTCTCTCTCTCTCT